CGGGTGAGGATAAAAAAAATAAAAATAAAAAGTAGAGCTCCTCCTCAATGAAGTCAATTATACCTGTAAATATAGAATGCAGGAAAGATTCTCACATGTATTATTAAATTATAGAGGAATTTTTAGGATTCCATCAGAAGGTGTTTTGCATATCAACAAACATCTTTAGGGTGCCTGCTAAGCCAGGCACCCATCAGGATACTTCTCTGATATATGGGTAGCATTTAACTTGTGCCTGAAAAAAAAAAAAGACGTGACATGATTGGCAAATTAAAGCTCAGTTCAGATAAGATACAAATAAAACCAGCTTTAGAAAAAAACAGAGAGCCTATTTTCTGTACAGCGACAGGTCATCTTTCTTTTTAATGAACTTCAGCAACTTCACAGAACAAAGATAACCAAATGAACATTAAATTGGCCCAGGACAAGTCATTCAATCTCCCTGCCTTTCGGTTTCCTATACATAGATAGGTTGGTGGCAGTTAACTGTTCTGTCTGCCTCAGATGGTTGTTGTCAAGACTAATGAGTGAGGTAATGAAAGTAAGTGCATTTTAAACTGCAAAGCACCTTATAAATATAAGATGGCATTAATATTGGTCCTGGAGGTGGTGGGAAATAACTCACAAAATTCAAAGGGGCCAACACAACTAAATGTAAGACAAATTTTACAGTGGATGGGACTCTAGCCTAGTTTAGTGTTCTCATTTTATGCAGGAGAAAACCCCACAACCCTAATATTTATTTAGTACCTATTAAGTATCAGAAACAATACTGGGTCTTTTCATATGTTATTTTTGTTAATGCCCAGAATAATTTGGTAAAGATAGGTGTTACAAGCTCCTACTCCCTTTTCATGACTGACAAAAAATAGTAGCTTGACCGACACCATAGCTGCTAAAGCAGGAACCAGAGTTTGAAACCACTTATATTTGATCTTTCTCTCATCCTGTCTCAGAGGAGGTGGGGTGCCTCCGAGTGTTGTCTCTGGAATACACGCAGTAAGCATCAGAGTGTTCATGGTTCTGTTCCTCATTTCTTAGTACGGGCAGTACACCCATCTGCTCTTTTCTGCTCTCTTGGGAAAGATAAAATAACTGCCATTTGGGGTCATTATACATTTCTGATTTCCAACCTGCATGTGGGTTCTCAGTAATACTTCGTGACCCTTTAAATCATCTCCAGTCACCTCAGTGGAGGTTGTCCAACAACCCCTGTACCCTCTCTCTAGAGAGAGAAGTGAGGCTGCCTAAGAACTTTCTTTTTTTCCAAATCTTTCCTTCTACCACCCAAATCGAGATAGTTTTATCACATCTTTTCTTTCATTCTCAGTTTTAAAGGGGTTATTGGTATTTTTCCCCCAAGAGAAACTCTGCTTGTACTTCTGCTGTTGATACTGCAATCACCCAAAGTCCTTTCAGGATGTTGCTAAAATGAGCAGCACCCGTTTTGCCTTCTGTTTTATGTCTTCAAGTCAGAAAGCTTGGTCAAGCCTCCCCCTTTCTGAAGAGGCTTCCCTCAACTTGCTCTCGTTCTTGGTACTTCTTCCCCCACCCCTGCCCCCCACTTCTCTCCAGATTATTTTTTTAACAGTTTCTCTTCAATGTGGCTATTATCCTTCTTTCTTGACACCACTTCCCACTCTTTAAAATCCCCTGTTTGCCTGGCTCAGCATCGTTCTTCTCAGTCCGTTGAGAATGCTTACCTTCCACCTGGAATCCTGGTGGCTGCTACTGCTCTTACCTTGGCACGCCTTTCTCCGTGACACGGCTGCTCTCCCGGGCGAGCTCGCCCTCTCACTGTACATTTATAGCCACAGTTGGTACCTCCTAAACTTTTATCTCTAGCCATCTTCTCTCCCCAGCTACAAACCCATTTTTCTGTTTCACAGATGCTATAAATGAAAGGTTTCCAAAGTAAAGGCATTCTTCCCTTTTCCCATCTCAACCCATTTTTTCCTCTACTTTTGTCTTCAAAAGCAACAAACCAGTTCCCCCTGCAAACAAAACAAAAGCAAGCCTTCCTCTGTCCTGTGGAAGACCCACTCAGATTGTGAGAGACACCGGAAAGGTCAGTGTGGGAGCTGTTGGAAATTCTCTCGATGGGGTGAAGATGATGGGTGTGTTGCAGGGACTCGGAAAAGTACCATGTGAGGTTCGTTTTCTTATTTAGTATTCTGTAAGCAGCTTTGTAATGAACATATACTACATCACACTATTTAGGTCAAGCTTTTACACATACCTCATTATACCTGGCTCATGCCTGATGCTCAGCCGACGTTTTTGTTTTAATTATAAACCTACGATATAAGTACCTTCCTTCTTGGTTGTTTAACAGTAGTTTCTTCTCAGGTCATATAGTAAATCTAGGATCAAAAGAATCCTATCTCTGAATAGGAGCCTCCCCTGTTAGCATCCTAGACATCATTTTTACAGATCTTTGGACAATGTTTAGTTCACCTACATTCTTAATCAGTTCTAAATTGGCGGTGATAACATCTTTGACATGCAGAGATGAGGTCTGAAGTGTGAAGTAAAGAAAAGAGTTCAAACTAGAAACCTGTAATACCTGTCCAGCCTGTGCTGTAACCACGACTGGGCAGATTCTCTGCAGGATCCTCTTTGGGGAACTTCCTACTTACTCTAAGTAGTTTGTAATGTCTTTTATGCTCTGAAACTTCTGTATATTTTGGTCTGACTATTCAAACACAGAAACCACTTACGGGGGTGTGGTTACATCACAGCTGTACCGTGAGCAGTTTTGAAGAGGGTTCACAAAAGACAAAGTAATTGGTATTGTCCTAAGTGCCATTATTTAACTTCGGTTTCAATTTGTGCAGTATACAGAACTGTGGAAGATTTAATAGCTTTTCACTTCACTGGCAAAGATTTACTGAAGACCAACTCTGGAGACGCTGCGATAGGATCCTCAGAGAATACAACATTGAATGAAAGGTCCCTTTCCCAAGAGGACATATCTGTGCTAGACGAGTTTACAAATTAGGAAACTGGATTTAATTGAGAAACGATTTCATTCTGAGCAAGCAGTTAACCAGGATGATCTAGTGTAAATCCCAGCATGTCTGTCTGTCCATTGTTCACCAAAATACCAGAGGTCACGTGCCTGGTTACCCAAGGCTTATTATGTACTGGCCTCTGTATTGCCCCTCCTACTATTCCCTTTCTGCTTTTGAAAGAGGAATGGAATATTGGCCTTCTCTCATTCAGGTACTGAGAGGAAGCCAGTTAGTGGGCCTGTTTATCCATGTCAGGATTAAGAATTCCCTTCCACCCTTTCCAGAAATAATATTTGGAAATTATGTTACCCAGCATATTTAATTTACTGCTGTGGTACTTGTTAGCAATGCGAGGATTTTTCAGTTGGTCAGTTTTATTTTGGAAGTTGTTATAAGACGTGGAACTAATGCTCTGTAATACCTATTTACTATTTAAAGAACTAGTTTTTATTAAGGTAATCTAAACTTTTTTTGAAAGTCTATCTATGATTAAGCTAAATATTTTAAAACCATTGTATTCAGTAGATAACAAGGCTATTTTTAGAAACAAGATACTTTGGGATTAAGAAGACAGACTTTGGAATCAGAAAGACCTGGGTTTGTATTCCAGCTTTAACCGTACTAGATATGTCATTCAACAAGTCATTTAACCTCTCTGAGTCTCCGTTTCCTCATCTGTAAGATGGGGATAACAACATCTAATTGATAGAATGATTGGTTATAAGGGCCACATAACATAATGTGCATTGTACAAATTAAGTACTCAATAAGCAATAGCATTTTTTTTTTGTTTTTGATCCTCACCCGAGAACATTTTTGCATGTATCTTCAGATAGAGCGGGAGGGAGAGAGGGAAGAAGAGAGAGAGAGAAACATCAATGTGAGAGAGACACTTTGAGTGGTTGACACCCACATGACCCCAACTGGGGCGAGGGACACAAACTGCATTCAAGGAGCGTGCCCTTAGCTGGAACCGAACCCAGGACTCTTTGGTCCACAGGCCGATGCTCTAACTGCTGGGCCATACCAGCCAGGGCGCCTTTTTTTTTTTTTTTGCCATTCCTTTACATTGAGTCAAAGTACAATATGGACACTTTAAAATATATATAGAGAGAATTATTATGAAGGTATGAACAATTTGGTCTCTTAAATACTTAAACTCTTACATATGTTTTATGACATGGTAGAATTTTAGAAATTGACTTAACCTAATTAAAGGCAGCATGGAATGCAAATTGTATTTATTTAATAGAAACTTATATAAGGCATACCATCTTCCAGGACTTTGTACTTTTACAAATATTAAACTACTTAATCTCTGTAACATTGACATTTTACCGAAGGAAACTGAGGCAAAAAGAGATCAGTGATTGCCCAGGGTCACACAGGTAGTACATGGTGGACTTGGGGTCTGGCTTTGAAGTCCTTTAACACTGCACCATGCAGCCTCTCCTATATGTTCTTTTTTCTATAAAGTGTGTGGGGGCTTAAAAAGAAATAGTAGCAGTTCTTTTCTGATGTCAAAGCATAAGAGAAAAAAATACCGAATTAGAGCAGGGTTGAAGAAAGTGGAACCTAAATTTAACACTTGACTTAGTTTTATCTAGCTTATTCCAGGTAATATTGATCTTGAAACAGTGCAGTTACACAAACACAGCAAGGTACTAAATGTCTCGTACCTAATGTTTTGCCCAATGGCAAAAGATAACAGCATTACTTCATTACCTCTTCTGCTTTTGCCTCCCTTTCATTTGAGTGTTTGGCTATCTTCTCCTGGGTAGGATCTTTGTGTCTGGACGGAACTTGCACACCTTAGTGTTGATGGTTACTTTCTAAATGATCTGCCACTTACCTTAGCTGACTCGTGGCTGTGATCCAGGGACTCTCCTCCCTTGCACCTATGCAAAAGCTGTCAGCAGTCCAGGACAAGTTCCAGATTATGACTTCACTAGTCTCTCCACTTTACTAGTCAAATATCAAGTTTCCATACTTACCTGGCAGGGGAAATACCATGATCACGAAGGTGGTTTTCCCAGGGCGAGGCTTATCCATTGCACTCCGGATGTGCTGGCCCCTGCGATTTCCCCAAATGTGGGAAACTCGTCTGCATAATTTATGGTAGTGGGGGACTGCGTTCCTGCTCTCCCCTGCAAAAAAAAAAAAAAAATCAAGTTTCCATGTTTGTTGCTATTAAATGTAGATAATGATAAGCTGAACTTATTATTAGTATATATTTATTGAGACATGTACTACCTACTTACTGACTGTGGATTTAACTGGCTGATACTATTCACACACAAAGCCCCCCCTTTCCCCACATTCACCCCTTCCTCCCTTCCCCTCCCTATTTCCCTTCCCCTCCCTTTCCCCACCTTTCCCCCTTCCCCACCTTTTCCCCCCTTTTCCCCCTTCCCCACCTTTTCCCCCCTTTTCCCCCTTTCCCACCTTTCCTCACCCTTCCGCACATTCCCCACCTCATTGCTTACCCAATTGTTACATCTGTTTATGATCCTCTCCCTTTTGCAGTCTATACTTTACATATAGATCAGTGGTGAAAGCTATCTCCAGGGCAAACTTGGAGCAGTAATTTGATCTCAGATTCTTCTGAGAATCCAACATGTGCTAAAAACTGTGTGTGGCCCTGGCTGTTTTGCTCAGCGGTTAGAGCTTCGACCTGCGGTCCAGAGAGACCGGGTTCAGTTCCCGCTAGGGGCACGTACCTCAGTTGCGGTTTGTCCTGGGCCCTGGTTGGGTCGTGCTGGTGGCAACCACTCGATGTGTTCAGTTCACGTCGATGTTTCTCTCTCTCTCTGTCTCTTCCTCGCTCTCCCTCCCACTCTATCTGAACAAGAAATGGAAAAAATGTCCTCAGGTGAGGATAAAAACAAACAAACAGTGTGTGTCTTTCAAAAAGGATAAACGGAATGTAGCTACCTTCTCATGAGGTGGACCACAGTGGCAGCAGATTAATAACTTATTTGATTTAGGAAACTAAGCAGAAGGTAGTTTCCATGTTGGCACCTCAATTACCTAAGACTGCAAATCTTCTGAGGCCTTTTTTTTTTTTGCTTTGGAAACATGGCTATGGGCAGATTCAGTCTTGATGCTGAGATAATTTTTTTGTAGTTCTTAGCTGTGCTGACAACTTTTCGGTTTGGAAATTCTATCCTTTTTTTTTTTTGCAATTTTTATTAACTTATTTTTGTTACAGATGTTTCTCCTTTTTACACCCTAGACACCCTTCTGCTGATCCCGCCCCACCCTTCCCCAGCATTGTTGTCTATGTCTGTTGGTTATGCATACTGCATATAAGTTCTTTGGTTTATCTCATCCCTCCCCCTGGCCTCCCTACTCAGGTTTGTCAGTCTGAACCGTACTCCTTTCTATGTCTCTGGGTCTATTTTGTTCATCAGCTTATTTTGTTCATTGTATTCCACAAGTAAGTGAGATCATGTGGTATTGTCTTTCTCTGATTGGCTTATTTCGCTTAGCATGATGCTCTCCATGAAATTCTTTTTCCTACTGGTTTGACCTGTGTTACTTCTTCATCTCATTTCTTCATTTTATTCATTCAGTCATCAAAAAGATGTTTATTCAGCCTCTACTTTGCACGAGGTGGTGGGTTCTTCACCTGTGTTACTGTGGTGAGCAAACACAGATGTCCTTGAGGAGCCTTCATTTTAGTGAGGGAGGCAGTCACTAAACCAGTTGTCACTGAAATCAGTGCAAAATTACAATTGTGAAAAACTTGGTGAAGGAGAGGCTCCCAGTGTCATACGTCCCAGTCTGCAGAGTTGACTGCGTTGAGATCCAGATCCACGGTATACATGGGAATCGCTCAGGGCTTTTTGGCCAACTATCCCCCATGCTGACAATGACCTGCTTTCCTTCTTTGCCCGAGGAACCCCCCCCCCCCCTTTTTTTTTTGCTAGATTCACAATGCTGAAGTGAATATCCTTGATAAGAACATTATTTCCATAGCTAAATTATTAGAAGTAGAATTTGATGGGAAAAGAGGTGTAAGCCTACTTTTAAGATTTTGATACACATTCCTATATTGGTTTCCAGATTAATCGTCCTCAATGTCCATTTTTCTTCATTGTGTTAGTCATTTTCTTGTTACTATTAAATACGTTTTAAATTTGTATTTTGAGTGTCATTTTTTAATTCCCAGAGAAGTTCTGTTTTGTCGTGAAATCTCAGTCTTTCCCTTTGGATTCTGCTTTCAGTGTCACACCTGGATTTGCCCTTCGAGTACAAACATAGCTGTAGCTATATGTCCTTCATTTGTGTGTGTTTTTATTTATATTTACATCAAATTCATCTGGAAATTATTTTGCATATAGAATCTTATTTTTTGCCAAGTGGCTGGTTAGTTGTCCCAGTAGCATTAGTTGTTTTTAATATATCATAATGTGTGAACATACATATAAAACTACTATGAAGTATTTTTAAATGTCCTTATAATTAGTGATTAGGATGGAGTAAGGTAGGAAGTATCAATTCTCTGGGCCATTTGAAGCAGAGAGCCACCTTGCCATAAACTAAAAGTAGCACATTAAACATAGTAAAGGTGAAGTAGCATCATTAAGTATCAGAAAAGGTGAAGTCCCTTTTATTGGCTCAGAGGGTATGGGATGCTTTTAGATCTGGACAATCCTCTTAATACTCCTCTCTGGTCCCCGATTATATGGGTGTACGCTCTAATTTACCTGAGTTTCTATTTGGTTGCTATTTCCTGTGTCCTGTGCTATCTCACACTGAGTCATAGGGGATGTGAATATACCTGCCAGTCTGAGAGTTGATTGAGGCTAAAATAGGTTCTTTTTAGTAGAAATCAAGATCATGATGCCCTGGCCGGTTTGGCTCAGCGGTTAGAGCGTCGGCCTGCGGTCCTGAGAGACCCGGGTTCGGTTCCCGCTAAGGGCACGTACTTCGGTTGCAGTTTGTCCCCAGCCCTGGTTGGTCGTGCGGGTGGCAGCCACTCGATGTGTCCCTTCACGTCGATGTTTCTCTCTCTCTCTCTGTTCCTCTCTCTCTCCCTCCCACTCTACCTGAACAAAAAATGGAAAAATGTCCTCGGGTGAGGATAAAAAAAAAATAAAAAAAAAAGATCATGATAACTTTCGGAACTTTTTTTTAAATGAGCACTTTATATCATTTTAATAATTTAACATGTGACTATTCAAGTTAGTATTAAAAATAACCAAAGTACTTGAGCTTCACTATGCATTTTATTAACACAGTTTTCTCCCTCGGTTTACAATAACATGCTTTGAATAAGTTTGTATCAGTGCAACAATTGTAAGGTCTCTGAAAGAAGAAAGGGAACATTTCTTGCTTGCTCTACTTCGCTTAATTGGCAGGCATGCTTAGGTTTTGTGACCATGGGGAGGGTGGGGGGGTGGGGAGAGACTAGGGATGCCTTAGGTGTTGAACTGATAACTCAGAGGTCCAGTAGAACCAACTGTCTGTCCTCCCAGGCTTACAATCAATATTTGTTAAGATTCCTTGGCTTGCAAAGACAAAAACTAAGTCTAATTCATCAAAAGAAGTTATTTGTTAAAACTGGCTATTGAAAGGGTTCTCGGAAAGCTTGCAGTCTTAAAGGAATTGCTGCACAGGTAAACTTTGGGCAAGGCAGGAATCTAGGGCCTCAGGCAGATTCCTAGGGAGCCCCGAACCTTCCCTGGAGTGTTTTTATGAAGATAACACAGCTCTGACCATCTCTTTACTTAGGTCTCAAATTCCCAAGAAAGAGAATCTTGTTTGCTTGATGGATGGTGGAGATAGAGCCATATGTAATAGACCAAATCATATTAATTTGCAGTATTGGACTATTTTTGCCACACAGAAAAAACTATTTCATGTTTCACCTTAACAGCACAGACATGGCTTTTGGGACTCCCCTAAGTGTTAGGAGAATTGTGAGGTGGTGAGCCTCCCCAGCTAATGTCTACTACATGTTCTTTTGATTTTCTCAACTCCACGGATCTTGTTTTCCTCATACTCTTTTCCATTTTGCTACACCCCCTTTTCCCCCAAAAAACCCTAACCTTGGACTAGCTTCCCTGTGCAAGAAAATGAAATACTGCTTGGGCCAAGGACACAACTCTCGAGATGGCCCTTGTCTGCTTGTCATTGGATGGCTGCAGATTTTCCTAGTCGCCATCCTTCTGGAAGGCAACCATGGTAGGTAGTATGCCTTCCTTCTGGTCATTGATGAGTCTGCAGGCAGTGTGACCATTCTGGTCTTAACAGTACAGTGCAGTTAATCAGTGGAGAGATTACTACTTCATAACAGTTCACACGAGTTGAAAGCTTTTGTTTGTTTTTCCTACCCCCAGCCAGCCCCTTGAGAGAGTTCTTGATTAGTTTTGAATCATAGAGTTCGATCCATTAAAGCCATGTCTTTTGACTAGAGCTATCTTCTGACTGTCTTCAAGATAGAGACTTTCGCCCTGGCTGGTTTGGTTCAGCGGTTAGAGCGTCGGCCTGCGGTCCTGAGAGACCCGGGTTTGGTTCCCACTAGGGGCGCGTACCTTGGTTGCAGTTTGTCCCCGGCCCTGGTCGGTTGTGTGGGTGGCAGCCACTCGATGTGTTCACATCGATGTTTCTTTTCTCTCTCTCTGTTCCTCTCTCTTCCTCCCACTCTACCTGAACAAAAAATGGAAAAATGTCCTCGGGTGAGGATAAAAAACAAAAACAAAAACAAAAAAAAGATAGAGACTTTCTCAGGTAAACAGAAGGAACCATCTTTTGGCTGTCATTTGGCTTCATTTCTTTTGACATACTGTTCTTGGCTGACACAATGGTTTTCAAGATTTATTTTTCATTGGAAGTATGTATTTGGATTCCATCGGTGAGGGAAAAATATTCTGTTTTGTGTGTAAATAGGCTATTCTAATACAAAATAAACTTCAGAATTTCTGTGGCCAAAGTGAGTAATGCCATGTTTATGCCATAGATGAAACAAATCAATTGTGGCAAGTACATTTGTGGAAACCACAAGACTCTGTATTGAAAGTAGTTTATTGCAGTGACTTACAAAGAAATAGCTATCTAGTAATTTCTTTTGGGAGGGAGAAATAAAAATTTGATACCAATATCTTTGCCTTTGTTTGAGTACATAGTAAGTTTACTTAAAATT